CACACACCCACACACCCACACACCCACACACGCACACACGCACACACCCACACACCACACGCACACACCCACACACCCACACACCCACACACCCACACACCCACACACCCACACACCCACACACCCACACACCCACACACCCACACACCCACACACCCACACACCCACACACCCACACACCCACACACCCACACACCCCCACACCCCCACACCCCCACACCCCCACACCCACACACACGCGCACACACGAGTAATTGCCGTAACGGTCACCGGCTGACCGTAACAGGAACCTGTAACAGGAACAGGGGCGATGGCGGTAACAGCAACAAAGAGTTTCCGTAACAGCTCCAGGAGGAGGGCTGGTAACAGGAACCGGCCGGACGACAGGAGTGTCAGCCTGCCTTCCCATCCAGACCCGGCAACCCCCCCCATCTCGAGGCGAGGGGGGGGGGTTGCCATGAGCCGGTTTTCTTTCTTATATGTGGAAGAAGTCGTCTCGCCATTATACACCTCATGCATTCCGCTGGACCCCAAACCAAGGAGACACTTGCCTAATGTTCGCTTTGGGTCCAAGTAGGGACGGAATTCTATTGTTCTGTGCTTCTTGGGTTTAAAGATTACACCGACACCCTGGGCCCGACTCCCTGAGGCCGCTCCGAAGATTCTACTACCCTTTGAAATCCCAGCCCGCCAACCCCCCCAATTCGAGGCGAGAGGGGGGGGGGGGTTGCCCTGAGACTGTTGAACGGCGTGGCAGCCGCAGTTTTTGTTACGTGGTTTTCCCACAGCCGCGGTTGCTGTTACACTCCGGGGGCGGTTCCTGTTTCTGCCCGCGCCAGTTGCCGTTGCTGCTTGCTGGTGCGGTTTCCGTTACTGCCCAAACTGGTTCCTGTTACTACCCGCACCCGCGCACACACGGTCGCTCATTCACGCACTCATGTACTCCCTTTCAAGTTCACTCTTGTGTACCTTTGCATTCTTTATGAATAGAATAGATAATCTTCACATGTGGGGTTATTCGGTCCTCCACAGACTATCGGTGCTCTTTCACTACACTGCTATAGACATGCTACAATGGTATGTTCGATGCCTCTTTGGTCCTAGGCTGGCGCAGCACAGAGCAGAGCTCACGGAAGCTGGGAGGCACGTGGGAGAGAACAGACGCTACTGTAGCTGCGCGGCAGGTTGGGTGTTGGGTTGTTGGGGTTCTCCGGATTCTCGGCGATTCAGGGTCAGTGCCCGAGGCACTTACAGAGCTCCGTTACCATTACATACGGACTTGGGGAGTTTCTTGTGAGCAGTTCGCAGTTCCCCAGGACCGCTGGGAAAGTCCTGTGCCCGTATTGGGGATAGGTGGCTGGACAAGGGGCTACACAAGCCTGAGGGTTTGTGCTGGTGGTACGGCTGCAAGCTAGATTCACACTCGACCATACCAAAACTAAAGGCAGCAAGTGGAGCACTCACGAACAAACCTTTTGATGCGAAGGGTGGACGAGCAGTAAAACAACGGCAGTGCCGTCAGTCGGACCAAAGAACTAGAAAACTCGGAACGACTGAGGCTTTCGCCCCGTTGGGCCGTTGTGACATTGTCCACGCCGCCGAATCGAATCGAACAACAACAAAACGATACAGAGCAACCAAACCAAAAAGGAATTCGGAGGCTCCACTGCTAAGGAACTGGGAGGATCAAGCTACTTAATGCGAGTACAGGCAGAGACGATCCCATTCCGTTTTGCGGGATCGGTGGTGCAGCTGAAAATGCACGTGCAGGGCTTAAACGCCTGCTGCGGGGCGGAAGGCCCGCAACTTACCAGGCTGGCCTTCCAGCTGCGACGCCGCTGCTCGCGGTTGTAGGCACAACGGTTTAGGGTTTAGGGTTTGTGCCAGAAATCCTCATCCCGCACGCCAGGTCTCTCGAGCCCAAGTACGCCAACAGCTTCAGGATGTCTCTGACTCCGCCGCGATACTGGAGGAACGGAGGGGGGGGGAACATCAGCTTCACCAGCATCACACTGGACATTGCATCACCCGCGGCTCAGGCGTATGCTCGTGAGCGTCGCGGATTGTAAGGCCGGCACCATCAGAGCAGTGCAGTGTGGTCGCTTTTGGCAACTTTAGATGTCCCGCGCATTGTGAGCGATACCGTGTGCCTCAGATGCAGTACGTGAAAACAGACCCATTTAGCAGCGCGTACAGTGTGTGTACCTAATGTTTTGTACAGTTTTTGACCGCACCCCCTGACCGCAGGGGCCCCTTGGACCAAGCCTACGGCTTAGCGGAAAAGTGACTAGTCTTCACACTGGTAGCGGAGCTCTCGGTTAAGAGAACCAGAGCTCGTAGCCCCACGTGCAGGGCTTAAACAAAAAATTTAGTGTGTATGACCATGTAAAGCGTTTCACTGCGTGTTCTCCGTAGGTCGTACCACGGCTCAGGACAGGAGTGTTAGCGGGAAAAGAGAAGTCCGCTCGCGCCGTGAGTTTAAGAGGTAAGTTGGTAAAAGGTTCCCAACTTTCATGGCAGCGGAGCTGTTGGCAAAGGCCAGCAGCTGAAGAAGCAAAGATCCGGGGAAGCCTGCGAAGGCTGGACGTGAGTGATCAAAGTGCCAAAGAAGAGAAGGACAACAAGTTACGGCGAGCCAAGAGCGTCTTGTCAAGCGAAGAACTGGTTGGAAAGATCCTCAAGCCGTCTGAAGCATTTAGCCCTGCAGCGATTGAAGTAGAAGTGTCGCAATGGAGCGACTGGGCATTTACGTTCAAGAACTTTCTTCTAGCATTTGTGGATCAAGAACTCCTGAATGACTTGAAGAGTGCAGAAGCCCAGACAGCAGAGATAAACAACGATGTAGCGAATACCTTCTTTGAAAAAGACGAAGCACGGACGGAAGACGGGAGGAATGAAGTTGTCCTCAGTGCTCAGCAGCCATCTGAGGAACAGACCAGTGAAGGTGTTACGAATCGTTACGAAGCGTTGATGGAATGAATGGTTTCGAGGTATGGAGAAAGTTAACAGCGGAACTTGAGCCATCATCAAGATCAAGAAGATTAGCAATGGCTCAAGAATTGGTTGGATTCCCAGCCATGAGCAAAGGCGCATCGCTGATGGATTACGTGTTAACTTTCGAAAAGCTCGTGACGGAGTACGAGAAGATTTCTTCAACGAAGTATGATGACAATCTGAAGATTGGAACGTTGCTGAAAGGTATTCCACAACACTTGAAGTAGCACATTATGACTGATTGATTTCTGAAACAAGACAACGTATACGGAACTAAGAACGC